CGACGAACTCGTAACCGAGTCGGCTCCGAGTCGGAGCTCGGTCCTGCTCCAGTTCATTGCCTGCGGGAGCTCGTCGGTCTCTAAGGGGAAAACCGGACCAGGTCCGATTGAACCGGCTAAGGAGATTGGGAGAAGAACGGAGAGCCTTCGGAAAGGAGTTGCGTGTAAAATTGCTGGAAAACTACATGTCGGAGGAGATGAGGAGATGATAAACTACATGTCGGAGAACCCGAGGTTCGGAAATTTGCAGTCGGAGGAGAAGGAGTACTTCAGTGGCTCGATCGTCGAGTCGATTAGAGAAGATCGACATGTCGCGGAACCGGCGCTGAAGAAATCGAACTCATATAACGAAGAAAAGTAAGTGGCTTCTTTTTTTAATCTAATTTAAAATTTATGAATTAAGGCTTCATTTGATAGTAGTTTCTTTTTACTTTTGGAAATTAAGTTTATTGTATCTACTTGTAACTTATTTCAATGTTTTATTAGTTTAGTTGTTCACTTTTGGAAAGGAAAGAATTGAACTTTTTATAATTTTGGTTGGGATTTTAAAGTATAATTTTTAAAAATAGAAAAGAAAATAAAAATAATATTCAATACACACATGAAACTAGCTAGAAAATTGTTTTTATTTTTCTAAGTGCTGGTAGAAATTGTCACTAAATGTATTCTTGTCGAACCAAAAACAATTATCAAATATATTTGTAATTATTCAAATATAACAAAAATGTTAAAAGACTTTAAAGTTTTAAAATTTATCTTTTGTTTGTCCCTTAAAATTTTCAAAACTAAAAATGTTGTAGGTAAAAATTACGAATTTGACCCAAAAAATTTAAGGGTTTTCTCTAATAAATCTCATTTAACTTAGAAAATGTTTTCTAAGATCTCTCTAACTTCTAATATTGTGTTTTATAGGTACTTGTATTTTCAATTTTGTATTTCTAATAGATTCATGATTTATATAAGACATTATTAAAGTTCTGAGTTTAAGCTATATTTGATAACCATTTCGTTTAAAGTTTTCTGTTTTTAAAAATTAAGCCTATATAAATATTACTTTCGTCTATATGTTCATTTACTATATTGTATAGTTTTTATAAACATTTTCAAAATCTTTTAAGAAAAAGAAAAGTAGTTTTTTAAGGGAAAATCCTATTAATGAAATTGTAAGCAAAATAAAAAATGAAGTATTTATGGAACAGTATTTTTAAGAGTTTATTAGAACTAAGTTGGAAGACTCATTGGACTTTTTTTTTTTTTACTCGGAAAAGAGGTACTTTGAAAATGGAAATGGGGTTATTAGTTATAATTATATGGTAATTATTCAGGAGCAAGAGAGGAGAATTTGGAGATAAGAGAGATGAAGAAGAACAGAGGGCTCAGGAGGAAGACGGTTGTGGGAAAGGGAGGTGCCTCCCTCGCATGATCTCAGCCTCAGCCTCATCATCAAAGCAACCCACCAGGCCTTGACACACCACAAATCATTTTGGCAAATTGTTTTTCATTTTCAACATTATGAATTTTAATTTAGGACTATATATATATATATCAATATATGTTGTTGAAGATATTTTATGAGCAGAATTTTAGGGATATAGTTTGATATGGTTTTGTTTTAGAAATCGAAGATCGGTTGATGTGGCTTTCGATTCATTAAGTGCTTGCTCGAAAATGGAAGACCCTTCATGAATGAAGGTCTTATAGATATTCTAGTGCTCGCTGGAATTTGTAGGGAGTTTGGTAGATAAATATTATTTTAATATAATATCTTTTGACGAATATATGAGTAAGATGTTTCTAAAAATCTAGTATTTTGTGAATTATACGAAGTTAATAAGCAAACAAAGGGGTTGATGAGTATTTGAGTCACGATCTCGAATCTGTCTCTCTGTCAATATACTGCTACAACAGCTTCTGATTTTGTGCACCAACACTCTTCCGCCACTCTATTTACACAAAAGAAAAACTTAATCGAAACAAGGTGTTTGTAAACACCTTTGCCACAACGTTGAGGCGTCTCAATGCTATGAACATTGCAATGCTGAAAAAGACGCCCCACACCTTTTTTTTTTCTTCTGTGATTTCGTGATAGCGTCTAGGTGCTGCCTCCTCAACCAGGATGACAGCTTGTGATCCTTGTCTGACACCCTTTCGACTCCATAATCCCAACAAATTTCAATAAATACATCAAACATAAATTAAATAATAATAGTTAGACCAACTTAGTTTATGTCAATTTCTTGAATCTCATTGGTAATTTGACTTCTAACTTTTAGCGAGGAAGGAGAGATTTTACGGTTATACCCATCCCCATCCCCGCGGCATAGTTTGAGTAATCTCGATCAAAATTTCCATCAGCGTGGTGAAGGTGTGCACCGACCCAACCGTGTGTGCACAAACACGGAATATATCTCTCAAAGCAATCCCAGCCATTGGATATGAGATTACTCATCTCGACCGTTGATTGAAATGGACAAGATCCACAGGTGGCGCGTGGAGTTGTCTGTCTCCCTTGGTTTCAAAGGGATACTAAAAGTCAAACCTGCGACTATTCCTGCATTGGATCTGCTACTTCCAATGCTATTATCTTTTTAGCTCTTTCACATGCACATAAACAAAAAAAATAGAGCTGAATGATTTTTTTATACACAAAAAAATAAAAATAAAAATATATATATATAGAATAAATTCAGACAACGATGTACTCCCCTTCAAACTTTTAAAATTAGAGGGATGGAATATGTGAAAATACATGTCCCTTACACCAATAAACTACTATTGAAACATGGAAGAATTAGAATTGAATCCACTAGAGTTATTGTTCTATACTTCAATAAATTTTCATTAAAAAACTATGTAAGTACATTAAAAATATGCATGCCAAATAAAATGATGGTTGCAATAAGTTAGCATAATGAAAAATTGGTACAGAGACGTTGATAGAAGGATTAGACGTCAATCTTAGTGGTTAATCAATGTTTAAATAGTACAAAGGAAAGTAAGAACAGAATATAAAAACTGTTAATAATATACTATAATAAATCGACATAAACATAACTGAATTGGTTAAAGTACTATTTACTGTCAAAAGTAAAAATCTGATTAAGCTATGCTGGAGCAAACTATAACTAGGATGTTCGTGGGGCCGAGCGAGGACGATGAAGCCATCCCCGTCCCCATCCTTGCCTCTCATTTAATTTTCCATCCTTGCGAAATTTCGGCATTGGGGTGGGGATTCCCACGGGGAATTCATGGGATCTGTAGCGAATTTTTCCCTATTTTGTATGTTTTAAATTATTTGTCAATAAATATTTTTTTCTTAAAGAAAATTTATTTAGTTGTTTAATTTATAAAGTCTAATTCTCTTGAATACATATATTAGGTGGGTGGGTATGATTTTTTTTGTACATATATATTTAAAGAGAATAATATATATATATATATTAAAAAAGTGACGCGCGGCAGGAACGGGAAATGGGGATGGGGAAAGCATTCCTCGTCCTCATCCCCACCCTTGGAGAATTTAAATGAGGATTCCCCACTCTATTTAGGTGAGTCTCCACAAAGATATGTTTGATTCATTTGGTACTTATTCTTATGAACTAATGAAATACCTATGGTTTGAGACATAATAAATTGTCCATCATTTTTTAACGAACCGGTTCGATAATCAATATTCCTCTTTTCATTAATTCTGTAAGAGTTAAATCCTTCTGAACTATCAGAATATCCATACTCATTTCTCTACTTTGAATAGAGGATATAACAATTTCTCTGGAATTTATCAGTCTAAGCAAGAAACAATATACTTTGATGTTATCTTTGATTTAAGGAAGTTGCATGGGAAAAATGAACTTCGCTGGATATAACCCAATAAAAAAAGATGGGTAATAGGGAATTTATGGTTAAATAATAAAGAAGTTAAAGAATCGAAGAAAAAGAGATGATTGCTGCGGAAGTGAAGGGGGAAAGCACGTTGTTCCATTAATGCTTCATAGAAATTAATCAAAGTTGTTCATGGCCGGCCTCCCTTTTTATATCCACCACGGCGGAGCCCTGAATTTCCTCCTCATTTTCTTCTTCTTCTCCTTGCTGTGTGCTCCTTAATTAATGGCTGCTTCTAATCTAATTCCGATTCTGATTGGTGTCTGCGTTCTGCTGCTTCCGGCGCTGGCCCCGGCGCAGCTTCTGCAGAAGCCATACGTCGTCAATGGCTGCGTCTACTGCGACACCTGCCGCTGCGGCTTCGAGACCAGCGCCTCCACTCCCGTCTCTGGTAAATATTAGAGCATAACCACATCGTAGCAGCCACATCCAATAAAGCACATTACTTTTTGTTTTTCATAATATTTCAGGTCGGAAGAGCCGTCTAAAATTCATACTAACTGACTAAATATTGTTTTGGTTTGGTTTAAATTATATTTTGATCTCTAAATTTTTCAATATCTCGTCTTTGAACTCCACTTAAGTCCTTATAAATTATGCGTGTGGAATTTAGATTCAAACCTGATTCACAGACTAGAAACCAATGAGTTGTGAAAGATTCCATTGTATGAAATTGAAACAGGTGCAAGAGTGAGACTAGAATGCAGAGACAGAGCCAAATGGGTGTTGACGTTCAGCAAAGAAGCCATCACCAACTCCGAAGGAAAATACTCCATTGTTGTCACAGAAGACCACAAGGATGAGAGCTGCAAGGTTGTTCTTGTGAGCAGCCCTCACCCAACCTGCAGCGAACCCGACCGTGGTCGCAACAGCGCCACCGTCATCCTCACCAACAACAACGGCCTCACCAACAACATTCGCTATGCTAACGCCATGGGCTTCTTAACCGAACGCCCCCTCGCTCTCTGCCCTGCCCTCCTCAAACAGTATCTCGACTATGATCAGTCATTGTGAAAATCGGGTTGTTTCGGTTTGAATTTAGACCATGGATTATGATGTTGTTTATGTTTAACCACTTGTTAATTGGTATTTCCTTAAAAGCAGATATGTATTAGTTATTGTTATCTTTAAGAAGGAATGAAAATAAAAAGCAATCTTGTACTTCAAAGATAGMGTTCAACCAAACTTGCACTACTTAGCAAGAACAGACTCAATCATTTACTCGTTTTGATTGAAGTTATTGCGCTTGGGCATTTGAAATATAAAGAGCTAAAAATAGTTTTGTAAATGATCACTAAAAGAACAATAGAAAGAGCTAAAAACAATTTTGAAAATTATAATTAAAATAACCGTACTGACTGACTGAGATATCATAAAAACAAAATCCAACTTACCAACTTTAAAATAACTTCACTAGTTGAAAACGGTTAAGATATGTTTGACTCGCCAACTTGAGTTGAAGACATGTTTGACTAATAAACATAGTTCAACTAATTGAGAGAGGCTCGACTCCACTCGACAGGTTTGAGGTCATGTTGATTTAAAATAAATCCTAACAAAATCCCATTAGACTTTGTATACCCACCTATGTAGATCTAAAAAAATTCCAAACAAAATCCAATTAGACTTTGAATAACACTACCAATACCAATAATAGTTATAGGAATGGAAGAGAAGAATGAACCTGAGTGTTTCCTTCGATCTTGCTTCAACACATAAAAACTCAAAGTTTCTACTTAGATCAACCTATCTATATTCTATAATGACTCAAAGTTGTTCATTTATTCTTCAGTCCATTCGTATCTCAAATCCCAAATAGAAGTGGCATCTTGATGGCAGCCCTCATCTTCCGTCGGACTAACATTCAAATCCATGCTCTCGCTGTGCATCTCAAACGCCTCGTCCACCGTCGCCTCTCCCACGCCGGCCTTCCAGTACCTGGTGCCGTAATTCTCCACCGCCCTGCTCTCGGACCCATCTCCGTTGTCCTCCATCCGTGCCTCCTCGCTGCTGTTCGGCTCTGCCCTCGCCAGCTCCAAGTTCATCCACTCCACCACGCTCTTCAGATGATTGTCGATCGCATGCTCGTCTGAAAACTGCCCTGCCTCCACCACCGCGTTGTTTCTGTATACGCACTGCGCCTCGTGCTCTGTTCTTGCGTTCTTGTCCACGAATCCCATCAAGGACTCGCTCTGTGGGCACCATTTGTTCTGGCAAGTATACAGGGCCGTGTCGCCCGCAGTTTCTCGATTGAATAAACACTTCCGTTTCTCATTCCCTCGAAAATGGGTGGTTCCCCCTCCCCCTCCAACGAGTTCCTCTGCTCTGGTTTCTTCTTCTTCTGCTCTGTTTTCTTCATGTTCTTCTCCAGTGATTTTCAGGCTCTTTTTGGTTAATTCCAAGAGGGCTTCTTCTTGGTTCACGACTTTAGTCCAAGTTAACGTCTCTTTAGCCGTCATTTTCGCCTGCAAATTCTTCGATTGCCGGACGAGTTTCCTCATGTTGTCCATATCAGGGGACATGTGCTTAATCACCGCCGCGAGAAGGCTGATTTTCCATGCCTTTTTGAGGTCGTGGGGCTTTTTGTAAGGCGGAACGCCGTGCCCACCGGCGGCGCCCTGTTCCCCCCACCAAATTTCCTTCCCCGTCGGCCACCACGGCGGCGCCAATCCCTTCTCCAGCGGGAATTTCCTCTGCGGCGGCATACAGTGCTGCATCAGAGCAGAGAGAATCGACCCCAAAGTGGTGTCCTGTAAATCGTGGAGGAGGTGCAAAAACGACGCCGTGTCGAGCCCTGTTTCTTCGATTACCTTGGGAAGGTATTCAGCTATGGCAATGGGAGCATCTTGTTCGAACCGGACATCGTCCCGCCACCACTCGCGGAGGCTCTCGGAGGAGCCGGTGACCGGTTTCCCCTTCTCCGGCACAATCCCATAAACAAACCCCTGTGCCTTACAAGCCTCCATTATCTTATCCATATACTTGAGGATCGAATCTTGGGCTCTGGCCATCTTTTTCCGGCGAGAGGCCTCTTCTCTGGCCGCCGAGTCCGGCTCTTCGCTGTCACGCGTCTCCTTCATCTTCTTCAGCCTCTGCCTGTCTTTCCACATTCGTTTCTTGAGGTCATCGTAGCTAATTTCTTCCTCTTCTTCCTGTTCTTCGTTGTCTCCATCGTGGGGGCGAATTTCTCCATGAAACTCCACCATCATTTGCGTGTGCCCAAAAGGGTTTAAGTATTTGTTGATGAATTTTTCAGATTCGGTGAATTGGGTCAAGTTGTTGGGGGTTATATATGCAGAAAGTTAGGAATGGCGGTGGTTGGTTGAAAGGGGACAAAGTTTCCATTAACGAGGAGTGAAGGTTGACTTTGGAGCTTTTTGAAGAAGGGAGCAGATGAAGCAGAGGCAGGTGTTGCAGAATGGTGTAATGCGTGCATGTTGGACACATATCTGATTTGATTTCCATTTCATTGCATCACCAACTTCTCCTCTGCTCAAACGATATCCCTTTGTCCATCTTTCAACAATGATTAGGCTGTGTTACTACTTTTAATTTTGTGTATAATACAACTACAGCCTAATTGGTTGGTTGTTTAATAGAAATTCACACTTGTGACATTCTTTCTCTCAATTAGGATGAATTTACCTTGGATATTTATTAGGTGTCGTACAGTCAGCATCATGCTTAGCCACGATGTATGTATGTTCTGAAAAAGTAGGCAACCTTCACCTGGTCAGTATAGAAGGATAGTCGGTTAGGCAATTTTGAACAAATATAACTATTGGATGAGGTAATATCAGATAGATTTGAGTGTTTTGTTTCTAATTCTGTGAATAAAAGTAGTGTTTTGATAAAGCATTTGAAGTACTCCACCAAGCACACTTAAAAACTGAAATTGGTTAAGCAGCTTAATTTGAGACTTGTTTTTTTTTCAGTTATTGAATATGAGTGAGTTGAATTGAAGCTGTTGGTGACACCGGAGAGCTGAGTTGTAGTGATGACATAATTTTTTATTAAAATAGGGCGACTTTTAGAGAGCAGGATTAGGAAGATTCTGTTAATTAATTTTCTTCACTAATTTAATAATTTACTTCTATTTGGGTTATTTATTTATTTATGTTTTTGCATAGAATTTCTAACTGGTTTTTGTTGGTTGATGAATATGATATTGTATATTATATGTGTTCTAAATAAAGCTACCTTTTTAGGGGTGTGGGACTACTCTTTATCTGGATCACATTCATAACTGATTTCTGCCATATTCTTTCATTTTTGTTTGTATTTCCAATATTTTACATTTTGCTGTTGAGGTTGGATTTGATATGATAGATGATGAAATTAGACATATTAATATACACCTAATTAAAATTTAACATCTTATGTATTTTCTTGACCATTATTAATTCGAATATTAAAACTAAAAACAAAGTTAGATGGACTAAAAACACCTTTCAAAATTTTTATAATCATATTTCGAAAGATTACTTTAAGGTTGATTATCTTGATTCTAAAGTGATTCACTTTGGGGATAGTTTAATTAGTATTTATAAAATCATTTTACAACCAAAGAAACTAGTAATTAAAATTATTTTTTAAAAAATATAATCAAATCAAACACACGAGTATTTTATAAAAGGGGGTTGTAAAAAGAGTTAAATTAGAATGTATTCCAAACTCATCTAATGCCATAAAATTATTATTGATTTCTTTTTGAGCGAAAAGCTACACACATAAATAGTTATTTATCTATCCACCCTATAACATGCCAAGAAGAMATTTATTTTCTTTAAAAAAACATGGAAACAACAACTCTACTACAATAGAATACATCACATATGTTTGATAGGGAAATAAATTTCTAAGTCAATAAAAAGGTGATGTATCGTAGTATAACATACATTTTTAATGAGCATAATATAAGCAATCTAGTTCATTTTATCCCATATCTAATAATTAAAACATGTCATTTACCTGATATTTCCACTTTTATGTTTTCATATATGCATAATGTAGATTGTAATATTTTTAGTTAGCAAATTTAATGGCAGTAGTCACTAGTCAGTATAATAACTTTGCCTTCTCACCAAACTTACAAGTCAGAGAATAAAGCTTAAGGTGCTGCCAACTTCTATCACTTAATTTATATGATAATTGAATGTGTTTATCTCAAGAAAGAAAATGTGACTTGTATTTTATCATTTTACTTTAATAAATATGTGGTTGTTTTCTTAGTTTCACAAYGTATGGTAGAGTATTTGAATTTGTTACGGAAGAGTTATTTTATCTATTCTGATGCTATCTTAGTCTCTCATATTTGGGTGAACGTTATTTGTATTTTGAATGTAATTAAAATAAATCAAACTCTTTATCGAGTCGAAAAATCTATTAGAATATTCTCCTATCTCTTTTGAAATTAAAATTCTAAATGCAAAAATTTTAAATCTAATTTAAATCAATAAAACCGTGATTGAGTTATGAATAGGAGAGAGTAGATCATTTATACCCGTCAAAAAGTTGCATCTTTCCCTAATTGCTTTTAACCTTTTTCACGTGCAGAGCAAAAGATATGTCCTCTATTCTTTTATTACAATAATGTATTTTCATCACCAAATTAGAACCTAACTTTTATTTATGGAACAATTTTATCTTTAGGCCTAAGGTATTTAACTCTAAAAAAAACAAAAGAAAAATTGTGAGTTCGAATGTTCACTCTACATGTTATACTAAAATAATAATAATAATTTTATTTATAATTATGAGGCAGAAAAACATTCTTATCACGTTGAGAACATAGAAAGGTCGAAGGGTCTTATCTAAAAACTACCACTAGAGAGACTGACATTCCATACTTAGCCGTAAATGCTGCAAAGACACTACTCTGCAATGAAAATATGACCCACGATTGATCATATGCACTCGAGAAATCCAACCTTCGAGATGACGCCAATAATCGCTTGTCAGATTTCCAACATTACTTTGAAACGATTTAATAACTTAATGCGTTGAAACATGTGTTTTTTAAACCAAAGTTAAAAACTAAAATAAAATACCAACAGATTTATTTATTTTTTAAAATAAAAAAAGTTAAACAAAAAAATAATAAAGATTATTATCCTTAACAAAGAAGAAAAATCTACCAAAAAATTTCACAAAAACTTTACAACTAAGGAAAAAGTAAACATTCCTTTCCATGTCATGAAGTTGTCATCCTGAGCGCAAGATTCGCTGCCATTATTCAATTTCTAGCAAATTTCTCCACTCTTCAAATTACACAGATAATAAAATAGTCTTAAAAACCCCAATGAAAAAGGAAAAAAAGAAAACTTTTTTAGACAATAATAAAAAGGAGAAAAAGAATATTCAGTCCCCTCTGTTGAAGGAAAAAAATTAGCCTCATCAGTCATCTCTCTCCCCAGTCTCCACCCCACTAAACAGAGCTCCATTTCTGTAAAAATGGTGGTGGTGTACTTAGCTGGCAAAACGCCATTTCCCTAAAAACCGGATTTTAAGGAGCCGTTGCAATTTCCCTTGGGAAAATCAAGGGTAATTCCGTCATCTACTCACCCTTTCCAATAAATGCACGGCTACTGTTTCTTCCCTTTTCTGACACACCAATTTCTCCACTCTGTAATGTGAAAGGTTTTTGCTTTGCTTTGGTTTTTTTAATTAATACTAAAATCTGCTCAGTGATTTTTTTGTCGCACCTACGAAAAGGAATGGTCTTTATTATTTAATTG